TGCTTCACTGTGCGATCAGTGTGGGTTTGAAGCTGAACTGGGTCGGGTCGCATTAGAACCTGCTAACCTGATCATTTCTGTTGCCAAAGGGACGAGAACCAATCAAACCAAAGGAGAGATGGAGGAAATCCCGCCCCGCCGCCCCCCAGACCCAATCAGAACCGAGGTAAGTCCTCCCGGGGAGATGACTCTGGTTCTGGTTTGTGATGGTTCTAACGGGTCCATTGTGTTCAGCAGGTCCGCAGATGTCCAAGAAGCAGCAGAAGGTAAAAAGGTTCTGCTCAGGTCATCAGGAGGCCGCTGCTGCTGGGCCTGACTGTGTGTGTGTGTGTGTGTGTGTGTGTGTGTGTGTGTGTGTGTGTGTGTGTGTGTGTGTGTGTGTGTGTGTGTGTGTGTGTGTGTGTCTCAGGCATTAGATAAAGGGAAGGTTGTGTGTGCCAAGTTCCCCCCTCAAGCTGTGGACGAGGCGTCTCTCAGGAAACTCATCGAGCCGTTTGGAAAGGTCGGAAAAATCCTCATGTTTCCGTCTCTGGTGAGTCTTCATCTCACACACACACACACACACACACACACACACACACACACACACACACACACACACACACACACCACACACAGCCTCGGGGGTTAACCACCGCTGTGCTCCCCAGGCCTTCGTGGAGATGGGCTCCTCTGATCAGGCCAAGGACCTGGTGAAGTTCTACAGCAGTTCTGACCCGGAAGCCAAGAAGGTGAAAGTGGAGTTCAACATCTCCAACGCCTTCAGCTTCCTGCAGGTACAACACCTGAGAACACACACCTGAAGCGACCGAGCGGTTCTGACCCAGACTTGAACAGAACCGAGCTGGAGGCAGTGAAGAACTGAATCAGATCCATACTGTAGAGATTCCCCTTGGTTTCCATGCAAACAGGTTTGGGATCTTATTATTGGGTAAATGCTAATGTTGGCATTAGCAACAATTAGCATGTCATCTAAATTTGATGTTAAAGCTAAACTTAATGGAATGAATGGAATAAGTTAATGTTGGTCAAGTGCTAATGATGGTGTTTAGTGAATATTAGCAATTTAGCTAATTGTAGCTGTTGCATGACATCAATCAGCTCATTTGCATAATAATCATCACCATCATCATCCTAACCTAATAGCTAAAGCTAGCACACAGAATGGAGTAAATTCATGTTAGTCAATATGCTACATTTGAGCTCTTGGTAACTTAAGCATTTAAGATCATTTTAGCCTGGATGGCTAACATTGCTACATTTGAGCTAATTTTAACCTTAGAGCTCAAATGAACACATTTGATGGCTTTGGCTAATTAATAAACACACTACTGCTAGCCTACAGTTGTCATTAGTGCTTTACCTATCTTTAGCTCATTAGCTTATTGTAGCTAATAAGCTAATGAGCTGCTGCTAGCATGCTAGATGGAGCAACTTCACTTTATTACACCTGGTAGTTAGCAACCCATGACCTTTAGCATGTTAGCTGAAGGTTAGGTGGGTCAGAGTTCTTCAGTTCAGGAACCAGAACCTACCGGTGGACTAGGAGGAGCTGTAGAGGTCTGAGCGGTTTGGGCCGGCTGGTTCTGATGGTTCTGTGTCTCCTCAGAGCTCCCAGGTGGTGAGCTTCACTCCGGCGCCGAGCGGCAAGGACGGCCGGTCCGATCTGCTCGGCATCGCCAAGCGCTTCGGGGAGCTCTCTTCACGCTCTTCCTGCCCTCCAAGGTGAGTTCGGGTCCGAGGTCCGAAGAGCCTTTCCGTCCAAACGGGCGGCAGGGCCCGGTTCTGACGGGTTCTGGTTCTGGTCCAGGCCTTCGTAGAGATGAAGCTGTCAGCTGAGGCCCAGAAGCTGGTGGACTACTACTCGGCCAGCACCCTGCGGCTCAACGGCGCCAACATCCAGGTGGCTTTCTCCTCCGAGTACCGGACCCTGCTGTGAGTAGAACCCGCCCACAGCTGGTTCTGTACCAGCTCTCCATCACCGACCGTCTGGTTCTGATCCACAGGCGGGTTCCGTCGGCCCAGAAGTACGAAGACGAGCCGGCCAAGACCAAGGAGCCCAACAGAACCCGACGGTCCAGGACCCGGTCCAGGTCCAGAGACCGGTCCAGGTCCAGAGACCGGTCCAGGGGAGGACGGCGGAGACGGAGTGGTTTCTGGAGACAGGAAGAGACCAGAGACCAGAACCCGGTCCAGGTCCAGAGACCGGTCCAGGGGAGGACGGCGGAGACGGAGCGGTTCTGGAGACAGGAAGAGACCAGAGACCAGAACCAGAACCCGGTCCAGGTCCAGAGAACGACACGGAATCAGTTCGCCGGGGCAGAACCAGAACCAGGCGGAGGGAAAGCCCAAAGAACCACAGAACCCAGGTAAACAACCAGAACCGGTACCAACCGGACCTTATTCTGGTTAACATAGCAACCAGCAGAGCCCAAACATCCCATAATAGAGGACAGAACTGATCGGGTCTGATCGGGTTCTGATCGGTTCTGGTCTCTGCCAGAGTCCAGATCGGCTTCTGAACCCAGAGGGATGAAGGTGGTGATGATGATGAAGCCCAGCCTGTGGCTGAGGAAGAGGAGAACCAGCTGGGTGATGAAGATCAGTGAGTCGGGTCCGATCGGCAGCAGAACTCTGCCGGACCGCCGAGCGTCTGCTGACCCAAAGTCCTGCCGTCTCCAGGTTTGACAGCGACATCGAGGGCATGGAGGTCATCGCCGAGGACGGACAGAACCTGGACGAGGAGGACGAGGAGGAACCGGAACCAGAGGAGGAACCGGAACCAGAGGAGGAACCGGAACCAGAGGAGGAACCGGAACCACCTGCAGGGAAAGTTCTGTGGAGGGAAAAACTGAAACCAGGAAATGATTTTCCAGATGGAGAAGAGGTGGAGAAGACCGGAGCTGAGGAAGAGGAGGAGGTAAAACACCTGATGGTTCTGGTTCTGTTGGACCAGAACCACATATGGGATTCAGTTACCATGGCGACGTGGTTGAGTTCTACATGACAATGTCACCAGGTGACCTTTGACCCATCCAATCATTAACAGAACAGATCAACGTTCCAGAGTTACAGATCCACAGTAATAGCTCTGGAGCAGATCTAGATTTAGCTCTAGAGCCAGAAAATCAAATTACGTTTAATAAAAAATGAGCCAAATATTAAATGATCAGATTCCAAAAGCCAACAGTGAATAAAAACCAACATGGAGTTTCAGCTGCAGCCATTTCATTCCTCCTTTACAGCTGCAGCTCTAGATCTGCAGCTCTAGATCTGCAGCTCTAGATCCAGGCAGAACAGCTTTAGTCCCTGCAGCTGTAAACCAGTTGACCTCTGACCTGAGAGATGATTGCAGTGGGCGTTCTGCCTTCTAATGTCTCGGATCAGAGAAACTGGTCCAGCCGTTTCTCTTGTGGCATCGATACCTGATTGATTTCTGATCGATCGATAACTGGTCAATACGGAATCAGGTTTAAACTTGAGCTGATCACCAGTAACAGGAACATTGATTATTATGGTCTGGACTCCAGTGAATCGTTGCTGAACGCGACCCGTTTAGCTGGTTCTGGTTCAGGTTGACGTTCTCTTCCTCCCCAAACAGGAAGTAGAATTCCCGGTGGATCTGGAGAGCTGCATCACTCTGGATGAGGTGAAGACGGACGACGAAGGTAAGCAGAACCTTCAGGACGACTCGGTTCTGTTTGGGTTCTTGACGACGTTCTGGTCCGTTCCAGATGAAGCTCCACCTGCCGACGGTCGCTGCAAGGAGGACGGGAAGACGGGTTCTGCAGAATCCGGGCCGGAACCGACTGGAGACAATGAAGGTCCTGGTTCCGTCTCCAAAACCCAGGAGGAACCAGAACCAGACAGATCCGGTCCAGAGCCCGAGACCCAGACCCAATCCAGGAAGTCATCTGGAGACGATGGTACCAGAACCGCTCCAGAACCTGGTCCTGAAGAACGAAAAGCAATTCCTGAGAACGACGACGTTCCTCTGAAGACACTCAGGACAGAGAACGGATCAGAACCGGATCAGAACCGGAGCACGACCGAACCAGAGGCTGACGAAGAGAAAAAGCAGCAAATGAAGACCGATGAACAGAACCCAGGAGAACCAGAACCACGTGAACAGGTAGGACCGCTGAGCAGGTCCGGTCTCTGACCCGTCCTCAGGGTTCTGTTCGGGTCGGATTCTGAAGCCAAGCCGGGCTGCTCCGGTGACCCGGTCCGGATTGTTTCGGACCGGGCCGATGTTCTGCTCGGAGCAGAACCGGATCAGTTTGGTGATTCATTTATTTCAGCGTCACGTGACGGACAGGAAGTTCTGCTGGCGAAACAGGAAGTGGCTGTCGGTGCGTTCAATGACTGAACTGGTTTTAATGGAAACGCAGCTGTTGCAGACAGGAAGTGACACGTTAAACTGAATGCAGTCAAATTGTTTTCAGATCAGGGATCAATATTGTAGCTCTGCTGATTATTTGAACGTTTGGACCAATCGGTGACCGCCTCTGTTTCCAGGAGTCTGAAGCGCCGCCAGCAGAGGGCGCCACTGAGCCGCAGAAACCCGTCGGTAAGCGTCACGCCTGAACCGATTCCTCGTTTTACTTCGAGTCCAATCAGAAACATTTGGGTCGACGATCAGAACCCCGACGCCGCGGTGCGTTCGCTGACCCCTCAGCATTCTGTGTGTTCAGGAGCGGAGTTCGTTCGTCCCGTCGTCGGTTACTTCTGCAACCTGTGTGAGCTGATCTTCATCGATGAAGACGAAGCCAAGCTGCAGCACTGCGCCACGCCGGCCCACTACAGGAAGTACCAGGTCGCCATGGACACCAGCAGCCCAATTAGCAGTACGCTACGCGCTACGCTAGCTAACGTGTCGTCTGTCTGTTGCAGGAGAAAACTGGCAACGATCCACGGACGAGCTGAGTTACGGATCAGAACCGTTCGCTTCCTGCTGCTGTAAATGTTAGTTTGAAATAAAGCAAGTTTGATTCTGAGGAACCAGTTTATTGTGTAAATGTTCTGAACGGCAGATCCACATCCAGACGGTCCTGACCCGGTTCGTTCTGAAGGGTCGACAAACATCGAAAACATAAAAACAAAAAACATGAAACTCTTCTGCAGCTGTTTTCAGGCCGCCGTCTTCTCCAGCTTCTTCTTCTGTGCTTTGGCCCGTTCCTTCTCCAGATGTTTCTGGAAGGACAGAGAAACGGCCACAGAACCTTACAGAACCACCAGAACCAGCACTTGGAAGCAAAAACATGAGCTATTCTGAGCTGAAACTTCTGGAACCAAGAACTGATGAAACAGGAAGTGGCCCTTCAAAATAAGACAAGTTGAAGTTTAATGTTGACTTTTAGCACAGACGTCCTGTGACTAGTGAGGGACTCTGGGTAATGTGACCAGGAAGCCGACTGGCTAAATGTTTCCTCAGGTCACCTGGCAGGTAAATAAGGTGATTTTTCTAATTCTTCTGATTCGTCAGTTAAGCTCATTCAATTTCTGCGGATCAATATAGCTTTCATTTTAAAAAATCTAACGTTATCTTTGTTCCAGTCACTTTTCATTTAGCCACCATTTTATTGTCTTGTTTGTAAAATGGAAAATCCCTTCAGTGTTGAAGGGATTCGGTCACCGAATTCCAACAAGCCGGTCGGAACCAACAGGCTCCAGGAATTCAGATCCGACTCAGGATTTAGGTACGGAACCAGATTGGAGCCAAACCAACCGAGTTGCAGGTCCAGGTTGCACACACCTGGACCAGGTTGCACACACCTGGACCAGGTTGCACACACCTGGACCAGGTTGCACACACCTGGACCAGGTTGCACACACCTGGACCAGGTTGCACAGACCTGGACCAGGTTGCACACACCTGGACCAGGTTGCACAGACCTGGACCAGGTTGCACAGACCTGGACCAGGTTGCACACACCTGGACCAGGTTGCACACACCTGGACCAGGTTGCACACACCTGGACCAGGTTGCACACACCTGGACCAGGTTGCACACACCTGGACCAGAAACCCTTTGGGTTTCTGAAGCTTTGATCTCGGCTTCAATCAAGTCACATTTCATGACTGATGGATTAGTTTGTAGCAAACATTTGTGAAACTGAAGATCCTGAAAATAAATAAAAAACTAATTTTGTATCAATAAGCAAGAAAATTCATGATATCTTTGTATATCCCCAATTCAGAGCTGTGCCAGTGGGTGGCGCTATTCAAAACCTGTAGATATTAGTTACATCCGGTATAATACATAACTTCAACAACACAAGCGGGTGTGGTTCTGTGGGCCGAACCGGGCCGAACCGGGCCGCTCACCTGCAGCTTGTGGTAGTGCGCCTGGCTGCTGCAGTGCGCCTTCTTGGCCTTTTCCTCGTTGGAGTAAAACAGGAAGCAGAGGCGGCAGTAGAATCCCATCTTCACATGCTCCACGCCTGCACAGCCAATCACAGCGCACCGTTCTAACCGCGGGTCTGTAACCATGGAAGCAGCTTCAGGGCACTTACCGAGGGGCGTGTCGGGGTCGTAGGGCGGGAGAGACGCCAGGCTGGGCTCGGCAGGGGGCGGGGCCTCTGTCTGCCCGTTCTGATTGGTCGACGTCTCCATCTGCTCCTGCACAACAAAGTGAAGCTGGTGAAACGGGTCGGAGGTTCTGGTCGGGTCCAGATGATCCAAAGACCCCTGATCCGCTTCTTACTCATTTTCCTGCTTGTGGCTCAATGTTGGCCGAGAATCCGCTTCAAGGATTTTCAAAATAAAAGATCCACAGGATCTAAGGGGCGTCATTAGATAATCGATCGCTTCCATCTAATGACGCGTTGATTGATCATTGGTTGTACGTCAATGAATTGTTTGCATCCCCAGTCAGAACCCGGGTCCGACGTGCAACCGGGTCAGAACCGGTCGGAGGACAACCAGGACTTCAGAGTGACCAACAGAAACAAGTCCGGATCACAGACAGCCGGTTCTGGTTCGTTACCGGGTCAGAACTCACCTCTGGTTTTGTATCGTCTGAACTTTCTGGAAGTTTCTCTGCAGAGTCTTTGTCCAAGGTGGAACCTTTGGTGATGTCACAGCTTGGCCCCGCCTCCTGCTCTTCCTGCTCTTCCTCCTCCGTCTCCTCGGCCTTGGCCTCTTTCTCCTCCTCATCCTCCTCTTCCTCGCGTTCCTCCTCTTCCTCCTGTTTCTGCTTCTTGGCCGGTGGCTCCTCGGCGCCGCGACCGCTCCACTCCGGACTCTTGTCCCTCTTGGACGGCGCCGGATACTGATGGCTGGAAGAGACGAGCTGCAGTGACTCGGGGCCCCTGGTACTCGGGGCCCCTGGTACTCGGGGCCCCTGGTAATCGGGGCCCCTGGTACTCGGGGCCCCTGGTACTCGGGGCCCCTGGTACTCGGGGGCCCTGGTACTCGGGGCCCCTGGTACTCGGGGCCCCTGGTACTCGGGGGCCCTGGTACTCGGGGCCCCTGGTACTCGGGGCCCCTGGTACTCGGGGCCCCTGGTAATCGGGGCCCCTGGTACTCGGGGCCCCTGGTACTCAGGGTACTCGGGGCCCCTGGTAATCGGGGCCCCTGGTACTCGGGGCCCCTGGTACTCAGGGTACTCGGGGCCCCTGGTACTCAGGGTACTCGGGGCCCCTGGTAATCGGGGCCCCTGGTACTCGGGGCCCCTGGTACTCAGGGTACTCGGGGCCCCTGGTACTCGGGGCCCCTGGTACTCAGGGTACTCGGGGCCCCTGGTAATCGGGGCCCCTGGTACTCGGGGCCCCTGGTACTCGGGGCCCCTGGTACTCGGGGCCCCTGGACTGGTCGTGGGGCCCCTCACCCGTGCTTCAGCTGCTTGTACTTGCGGCTCACGTAGACGGTCAGCCGCTTGCCGTGGAACTTGAGCTGCTTCCCTTTGCAGGCTTCGGCCATTTTCTCTGCAGCTTCGGGTTTCTCCATCTCGATGAAGCACTGCAAGCAGAACCACAACGGTCAGACAGCCGGAACCGGGACCGGGACCGGGACCGGGCCGGTACCTCTCTCTTGATCCGATGCAGGAAGTACTTCCGGATCTTTCCGTACGGCTCGGCCAGCGCCAGAATCTCCTCGTCGGAGAAGCGGATGTTGGGAATCTGGCCGATGTAGACGACTCTGCCGGATCCGCACTGAGGGGGAGGAAGATCACCATCATCATCACCTTCACCAGGTTCTAAACCGGCGACTCGGTCGGATCCACAGCCGGTCCGACGTGGCGGCTCGTCTCTCTCGTTTGTGTAGTTTTAATCGTGTTTGGCGTGTAACCACAGCAACAGGGAACTGCTGTACTTTTATTCAGGTTTTTTTGCAGCTTCTATTGTCTGGAAAACCTGAGCATCTTCACTGCACTGTCTTTGGTCAGGGGTGGATTCTGATACGCTGCAACACAGACCGACCCAACAGGGCAGCTACAGAGGCTCCGCCCCCTGGAGAACAGAACCTCATATATAAAGTTTTATTGACACGTCAAGTTTCATCTAAAGGGTCAAAATGACAAACAAAGAGCTGATGGAAACATCCAGATACACAGAGGGGCCAGGAAACCACAGAAGAAGAGCTGGAGGACTGGCCAGGAACCACAGAAGAAGAGCTGGAGGACTGGCCAGGAAACCACAGAAGAAGAGCTGGAGGACTGGCCAGGAAACCACAGAAGAAGAGCTGGAGGACTGGCCAGGAAACCACAGAAGAAGAGCTGGAGGACTAGCCAGGAAACCACAGAAGAAGAGCTGGAGGACTGGCCAGGAAACCAGAAGAAGAGCTGGAGGACTGGCCAGGAAACCACAGAAGAAGAGGACTGACCTGGATGGTGGGGTAGCTCAAGGAGTGAGTGATCCTGACAGGCCGGCCGCAAACCGTCGCCGTCACGTTGCCGTTGTAGAACTTCGCCATGTTGACGGCTTCTGCCTCCGTCTCAAACTGGATGTAGGCCTGAGGAAGAGGAGGAGGAAGAGCAGCAGAAGCATTTAAAGTTGCTGACTCCGCCCTCTCCTTCAGACGGTTGGATATCTGATTTTATGTGGAGCGTTGCTGCCACCTACTGCAGCTTTAGAGAACTGTGCTTTTATTCAGCTAGCAGCAGGTTTGCTAGCTAGCAGCAGGTTTGCTAGCTAGCAGCAGGTTTGCTAGCTAGCAGCAGGTTTGCTAGCTAGCAGCAGGTTTGCTAGCTAGCAGCAGGTTTGCTAGCTAGCAGCAGGTTTGCTAGCAGCAGCTAACAGACATTTATGCTAAAGAAGCATTAAGAAACAGTTTATACGTCAAATGAGCGTTTGTGTTTGCATGTGTCAGAAAGAGTAACTGAATTTATGTTTACTTGAATTAGTTTTGGAAAACCTGAATACTGTGGAAGCTTTGATTGTTATGCAATAAGCTAACCAGCAGGAGCAAAGCTTAAGTTAGACCAACATGTTGCTATGTCATGCTAGTCATTTATCCTGACTCCAGTGACAGAGTTAGGTTCTTGTTGTTCTGATCGTTATGAATATAAAACTTTTAGCTGCTCATTCTGAGTCGTTTTCCATGAAAATGAAGGAAGAAGAAATGAATGGTGGTGGTTAGCTTCGGCACCACAGCAAAACCTCACGGCCACGATAAAACCACTGAAATCATTTCAAAAGATATACTGCTGCTTTCATTCCATCATTAAGCTTTAAGGAAATATGTGTCAGAATCCGAGATGCAGTGCTGCTATAACGCCGGCGCCATCTGGTGGCGCGATCAGTGTAAGTCAAACCGTAAATGAGGCTGAACGCAGAATCAGAGGAAGCTGTGAAGATTTCAGAGAAGTTTTGATCAGTTTATCTGCAGATTAGGAGGAAGGAGTGATGAAGAGGATAAGCTGCTTCTCCTGAGCGACTGCAGCCATATTTATTATTTACTGATCCATGAAGTTCAGGAAGCTACGATGACTTCAACATTTAGATGGTGAAGAGTTGGAGCTGAAAATACCTATGAATATAATAATAATCATTCATCTTTAATTCATATAATCCAGCTACTGTAAAGTGCCTGAGTTCCAACATATGAATGTTCTGATCATTCCTCACATATCCACATCTTCAGTTTGATTTTCTACTTCTGATAACTGCGGAATATTTCTCTGTTTTAACCTTGTTCATATGGAGCCGTTGCAGCGCAGCGTTGTGCAGTAGATCCCACCCCAACTTCCTGCTGGAGGCCAAAAGCTGCTGGCTAACGATGCCTTGCATTGGTAGCTGATATGCACCAGTATATTATAAGCCTGGCGGGCCACCAGGCTTTAGCTGTGCCTCCACCAAGCTAAGCATGTCTTATTTTGTCACCGGCCAATCAGAACACAGACATGAACTTTATCAGCGCAGACAGAGCCGGCGCTGGGCAGCGAGTTGAGATGGAAACGACCCACATCATTCTTTGTTCACAAATATAAATCATTCTCAGCTGCTCAACACTCTGAAAGCCACTACAAGTTATTCCTGCGGTTCACATAGAGCAACGCTGTAACATAACCACTATGTTTGTTTTTCTCAGTAAATATAATAAATGTTAAAAATGCCAAGCTGTCTAGTGGAACAGTTGTGGATTTCATTATAAATAAACATAAGAAAAAAAAATGTCGAAGTTCCACTGTTAAAAAAACTGATGTTGGGTAAATCATGTTTGGGGCCAGGTGTGTGGGAATTAGAGATAAAAAGGGGGCGTGTGCGCCAGAAGGCGCGGCGCAATCTGTAAGAAAGACGCTCATGTGTCGATCTGTGCAGCGGGAGTTTTGGCCTTATCCTTATTGTCTGTTTAATCCAAAGAAAAGCAACAAAAAGATAAAACATGGATTAAGGTTCGATTAAGGTTCGTCCCAGCGCCACAGATCGGGCCCGGAAGCCTGGACCGGAGGGTGCACCGAGGGAACGCCGCCTGGTGCAGAAGGACGACGACAGTCCATGGAGGAAACCACCGGGGGGAAAAGGGACGCTCCCGGTGAGATCTGGACTTTATTTCTTTTGGGTTTTTTTTGGGTGGTACCACTCTTCTTTTTCTCATCTTTTTTGGGGTTCATTTTTGACGTTTTGGATTTTTCTTGGGGAAGAAGACGGGGATTAATACGGAGCGACGCTTCCAGGTCGTGGTTAGATTTGGAAGTATGGGACTCCTTATGGACAAAAATATAAAAAAGGAACAGGACTTTTGGGATTTTCTATTTTTTAAGTGTGGTTTGTGAATCGGCCTGACAAGGCAAATCAGACTCTTGATATTTGGGGGGTTTTGATGTTGATTTAGGTTGATTAACTATTCAAATTTTGGGTTTCTGAATAAATTATTTCTGGTGCAAACCTTTAATTTCATACTGAGTGGGTGAACATTTGTTTTTTATCAAACTGATTCTGGTAACACTTTTAACCTTTACCTGGAACAAGATCCCCCTTGTGTTTTCTTTGTGAGTTGCTTTAATCAAGCCGAATATTACAACGCGGCGGATTTAAACTCTGACCTTGATGTGTAAGAGTCTAAGTTTGCCAAAGAGACGCAATTCCTCAAAGGAGTGATGTAAATATTCGTACAGGCCTCTTTGTGTCCGGTCAGGGTTAGCTGCGGCAGAGCTGCGGCAGAGCTGCAGCAGAGCTGCGGCAGAGCTGCGGCAGCTCTTTAGAAATCGGCTTTAGATGCATCAATATAAACTGATCTTTGTGGAGCAAATCTGCTCCCCCACTGAAACGCTCAGAGCAAAATAAAATAAAATAAAAATAAAAAAATTAAAAAAAACAGATTTTTTCTTTAATTATTATTTTCATAAAAACAAAAACAACCAACACTTAGCCTGGCGGGAGGATTGTAAAGCATGGCGGGCCGCCAGGCTTATCATACACTGATTAGTTAACGGTTCCACTGCAGCTAAGCATAGAAAGGAAAACTAAAGTATTTACAGTCAGGTTTCACACCTTTATCACCATGGAGATGACTTATTTATCTTATTCAGCACAAACTGCTGCACAGAATCTGAGCACAGCAGAAACCCGGAGCGGATTCCGATCCGGAGCGGATTCCGATCCCGGAGCGGATTCCGATCCCGGAGCGGATTCCGATCCCGGAGCAGATTCCGATCCCGGAGCGGATTCCGATCCGGAGCGGACTCCGATCCCGGAGCGGATTCCGATCCGGAGCGGACTCCGATCCCGGAGCGGATTCCGATCCCGGAGCGGAGTGTGAACCAGCAGCGGGCGGGCGTCCCTACCTCGGTCTCAGATCCAGAACCAGATGTTTGACCACCTTCCCGAACGGCTTGGCGAGCGCCAGCATCTCGTTGCGGTAGTTGTAGCCGCGCCTGAAGCCCAGGATGTTGACCACCCTCATGCCCTGGAGGGAAACAGGAAACAGTTGACCTCAGACAGGAAGGGGGCGCTGTGGGGTCGCGGGACAGCAAGAGTTCGAACCAGGCGTACCCCTTTTCTCGTGTTGTCTGCAGAAAAGAAGGAGGACAGGAAGAAAAAGCCAAACATCAGCTCTAATCCGATTGGCTGCTGAAACGCCTCAGTGACCTGATCACCAACCGATGCCGTCGTCGCTCTCGTCGCCGTCGTCTTCGTCCAACTCGTCCAGGGTCACAAAGTCTTCCATGTTTTCCAGGAAGCTCTGGTCAAACTGGAACCACGAGAATCCAGATCAGAACCGGCTGGTCCGACCCAACAGAACCTCCACCCCGCCTCACCTCCTCTCCATCGTCTGGTGCTTCAGCGCTGTCTTCTTCTTTGGTTTCTGGATCCTCTGCAGAACCTCCAGCCTCCTTCTTAGCCCCGTCCTCTGTGATGTCATCATCACTAGAATCCTGGTCAGAGCAATGATGTAATTTAGGGCTGTTGTAAACCAATATTTTAGAAATCGAGTAAACTATCGATTATTCTTACGATTGAGTAATCAGATAAAAAAGATGAAATGAAACATTGGTAAATCTAACAAAACAGCAGTATTACTATCACATTCAATATCAGACCAATTTTTCACAGTGGAGCTTCCTAACTGAACGGGTTCAGATCCTGAATTCATCTTTTGTCTGTTTTCCAGTTTGTCCTCGTCCAACAGAAACTGTTTTTAGCTGATCTGACTAAAATCCAAGAGCTGGATTTCCTCTCCACTTTTAAAAAGTCCAGTTTCCTGCATTAGCATCACTTTTCATAGAGGTTCATCTCAGGCTGTTGTCAGAGAGTCTTCCACAGCGAATGAACTACGACTTCACATCCCAGTCCACTTGTGAGTACTAGTGGACTCATATGTGGACTAGATTTCATCCATTACAGGAAAGATTGCTTTCCTGTAATCTAGAAAATTAATAACAGCTCACTTTCTAAATTAACCTGAAGAAAAGTGATACAAAACTCTGAAAGTATATTCAATTTAATGATAAAAAGGCAGGTCCACAAATACAAATTCGCTTATTAAAAACAATTATATACTCCATCTTAGTTTCTGTATTCATCTTCAGTCAGTTTAATAGCTGAACTTTGACCTTGCCCAGACATTTATAGCTCCTGTGTTCATGTTAGCGACGGCATTTGACACCTTCATTCATCATACACAGAAACATCTGCCAGGTGTGTGACGCCATGGCGGCGCGCTCCGCCACCGTGGAGGGAAGAAGTTTATGTTAGTCAGCATTCTTGTGATTCTCCCTATGCTAGTAATATTTTAATAGCTAAGCATAGCATTGATGCTAATGTTTAGCATCAGAACACTGGGTTCCAACAGACAGACCCACTTTGGTGGGACCTGTTCACACTTCTTCCTCACCTCCTCCTGGTGTCTCTCCTCCTGCTCTTCCTTCTCAGGCTCTGCTCTCTCTGACTCCTGATCTGAGACTCCTCCTGCTCCCTCCTCTTCTTCGCCTCTCTTCTTCTCTGATGGTTCTTCTTCTTTGCTCTCCACCGCTGCAGATTTCTCCTTGTCGTCCTTCTTCTTCTTTTCCTCTCTGCTCCTGGAGGAGGTCTCCCTGGAGGTCCTGGAGGGCGTCCGACCGGCTGGTCCTCCGACTCGGAGCATCTTTCTCCTCCTGCCTGTGGCTCACACTGACAAACAGAGTCAGGACGCAGAAGCGCCACTTTCAGGACAGGAGGTCGGCCTGCTTTACTCACTTCAGGGTTTTGTACTTGGTGCAGATGTTGAGGCGGATCAGCCGTCCTTTGATGATGAGCGGGTTCATGCTGTAGTACTTCACCAGCATCTCTGCGTCCTCCATGGTTCCCAGCTGGACGAAACGCCTGAAAGCAACATGGCGGTTCAGTGGAGTCACAGAGCGAACAGATTGTGGACCGGCGCCAATTACTGGCAGATAATTCACTTTAAAAATCTTTACTACAATAATATTAGCATTAGCATGCTAACCCCCTTCACATTTTCTGTCAGCCACTAGAATTTCTGGATGAGAGCCATTTTTCAAAATAGCCATCATTTTTGAGCCTTTTAAACAATTATTGTTATAAATGTTCCCCATCTTTGAATTAGCTTTTCGTCTCACGGTTTCCTCTCGGTCGTCATGTTGATACAACTTTAAAATGCCGCAGAATCAGAAACTGAGGACTTTATTGTTCGCAAGTCTTAATGGTTAGCGTTAGCTTGTAGTCATTTTTTGTGCTTAGCAGCTTATCAAATCATTTTATATGGTTAGCGGTTTAGTATTAACAGAGCTAAGATTCTTGTTTAGCTAATTGGTGAACAAGAATGGAAACGATCCAGCGGCTCGTTTCCATTCGGCTCCATTCAACTCGCTTTTCCACCGGTTTTTTCGGGGCTGGCCGGAAAAAACCGGCTCTTGTGTTCATGTTAGCGGCGGCATTTGACACCTTCATGCAGGACGAACCAGGAAGCTCTGCAGTTTACCCACATCTGAAAACACATTAGGAATGAATTCGGACACTATGAAGCTGTTTGCAACACCCTGACTGACATTAATGCATTTATATTCGGCACTATTACAAGTTTTATAGTAGTTTAATACAAAGAACATCGTTAGCTCACCTGCACCGTCTGAGCCACCTGCTTTCCTCCTGCAAGGCAGAGATCAGCTGCCGCGCATTTTCTTCAAGTCTCAGAAAAATCACAATCAGCCTATGAAACAGTAGCTCAGCTTTTTCTTCTTCTTCTTTTGTCTCAGAAAAACAACAACTGGCGTTCGGTCGCATGGTAACGAAGGAGTTGGCGCCTGCAGGCGGGGCGCATACCCCCACCGCCAGCAGGCGGCACCCTGCCGCAGAGCCGAGTCGGCCGGGGGAAACGCGGTCACTCCGCAGTGAAGCCGGGCCGAGCTGCTGACGTAGACCCGGTGGAAAAGGAGCATAACGTTCTGGTTCGCTGTGCCTAAACATGTTTTCTACACCAGTTATACTCGTATTCATCAACAATAAATAATGGCAAAATTAGTGCAAAAGTACATTTTCCTTGATAACCATGGTGGCCATCTTAAATTGTTTCAGCCACTGACTGTTTTTTCTTTTTATCATTAAAATTCTTTTCCAAACAATAAAATTCTACAGACCAAAATGTCTACGGAGGAGCTGAATAAAAGCCGACAGTTTCAGGAGGAACACCCGGACCTCAGCTGAAGCTCCGCCCCTCTTTCGTCCCGAGGCGGTTCTGATGGGTTTACCTGGTCAGTGAGGAACAGGTGCTTATCCACGGTGCCGAAGCGTCTGGCGATGGTCAGCAGCTCCTTCTTCTGCTCGTCGTCTTTGGGCAGGTTGGCAAAGAACACCACCTTGCTGCCATGGCCGACCACGTCCCTGGAGGGCCGGTCCGCCGCTGGGTCCGCGCCCCGGTGGGACTTCTGCACACAGAACAGGCATGAGTCCGGTTCCAGCGATTCCTGCGGTCCACGTGCCCGGCGGCGGCGGCGTCACCTCGATGACCATGAGCCTCTGGGACAGGTAGAAGGTGACGGGCTTCCCGTACAGCTTGGTGGGATGCTGCTTGTAGAAGGCCACCATGTTGGCCGCCGCTTCGTGGCTCTCCATCTCCAGGAAGGCCTGAGGGGCGAAACGCAGCGCTGTCAACCGGGCCGGGCCGGGCCGGGCCTGGCCGGGCCGGGCCGGGGCCTCTGTGGTACCTTGTTGGACAGGATGAGGTGCTCCCGCAGGCGGCCGAACGTCTCAGTGAAGGCGAACAGCGTCTTGTTGCTGAGAGGCTTCCTGTCGTACTTCACCACCACCACCCTGCTGCGGAGCTGAGGACGACACCAGAACCGTCAGACGGAGCCGGAACGGAACCGGGGCGGACGCTGGAGGTCCGACTCACCGTGTTCTGGCCCATGGAGAGTTCGGAGCGGCCGCGGCCTCCTGCAGACAAACAGAACCGGTCAGAACCGAGGAGACGGGACCAGACCAGCTTCCCGCCAGGACGTCTCACCCCAGCCGGACGACATCCCGCCTAGCGGCCCAGAGGACATGGGCGGCGGTCCCAGCAGGCCCGCAGACAGGTTGGGGCCGTCCCTGCGACCCAATAACAGCCAGACGTTACCGACTTGGACTAGGACACTGGGAAAGTGGAGTCTGTGTGTGTGTGAGAGACCTACCTCCTGCCAGGCTCCCAGTCTGGATACCTGAAACAACACAACAGCCATCAGAGACCATCACAGCTCCCAGTTCCCCCTCCAAACCCGTCAGACTGCTCCAGGCATCACCGTGGCAAAAGCCTCTCTGTACTTGATGCTTTCTGTTTGTGTGAGTTTCTGCTGAGGGCCAATAGAGGACATTTCTAATCTATCCATGCACCTTTTGAGAAATCAATAGATTTGAATGAAGTTGTTGTTAACAGCAGCGTCTTAAAGGGCCAGTATGATGGATTTCCCTGCTACATCGTGTCCAATTACATCATAATCCAGTAACTATATCACCTTCAGTTGTTATATATATATGATTTAAAAAGAATTTGACTTCCTGTCTCTTTAAAAACGCCTGTTGTTTCTGAAGCTCTGCCTCCAGGAAGTCATCCAACATGGCTCCTCTATTAACCCTTTGAGGTTTTTACAGAGCAGCAGCTCCTATAACAAGCTCAGCAGGTATTTGCTAATTGCTGCTGGCTAGTCTGGAGAGGCTGTGCCTCGAAGGTGGGGCTGGGTCCGCCCAGGCATTCAGCAGCTGAATTAAAGGACGTGTCAAGCATGAAAGAATCAGAGCAACACTGCAGAAAAAAACACAACGGAAAGATCAAAAAGTTGGTTTTATCTGACACCGGCCCTTTAAACACCAATTTGACCTTCATATTCCCCTAGCATTAGCATCAATGCTAAAGCTCTGCCTGTTATTAATCAGTCTCTACAGGAAGTTGCACATTCATGTCAACTAGAATCACCACACAGAGGGGAACTTAGTCGGCCACCAGCTGTGCAAGTTCTCCCAGGTAAAAACACGAGAGGCTGAAGTTGACGTCGCAGGTCAGGGGTCACGAACCAGTTCAGCATCAAGAGCCAAATTCAGCTCATCGACACCAGAAAGAGCCGCACAGCAATTTCAGGATTAGCTTCATATGGCACTGAAAGTTATTCCCCGTGTCAGTGGGACGTCTTGAGGTTCGGTTTTTCCACATGTGAGTGAAGACGGGACAACGAATAAAAACTCAGAGAAAACTTCCTGGAAAATGTTTCTCACAGGACAGTTTTGAAGCATGTTGGCAATTTACTCGCATGGCTCAGATTTGTATGCATTTCAGATGGTAACTTCTAACATTTGCATTGCAACTTCCTGCTCAGTAGTCTTAGTGGGGCATTGAACATAACCCTGTCACATTTTGAACATGAGCAGTAAATGAAATCTCCACAGGTTCAGCAGCCGGCCTGGAGCTCTGTGATAAATAATGTCAACTCTCAGGAGTCGGTTTCCTTCTGTTTAAAAATCGCTCCATATCTGAAATGCATGAACCTGCCACTCACCGCGATGTCCACAGCACCGGTTCTGTTCACGTGATCAGAACCGGTTTGCTTTTCCCTCAGCGGCACCAGAACCTGCAGCACAAACTGACACGTTTTTGCTTCTAGTTATTATTTGGGCAGCAGCAGCTTATCCTGCTTCACTCTGCGCCACAATGCTGAGCTTGGATGCGGCGCAAAACCCACCAAAATGAAATGCAGCAGCCGACAGGAAGTCAGGGAGCTGCGGAGGAAAGCGGCTTCCTGCAGTCTGTCCTCCTGGAGCCACAAACACTGCAGCGCCAGCTTCACCTCTTTCACGACCTGCGCTGCATGCTGCTTTAGTTGGTGATGCCTTCAAGGGGTGTGGGAAATTTCAGAGCCGCAGATTGACCACCCCAATCATTGGTAGACCTCAACTAAGAGGCAGAATGAGGAAACATCTAAAAACTTAAATCAGATTGTCTGATTTTTTAAAGAATTTGCAAATTACGATGGAAAACAAGTATTTGTTGAATAACAAAAAGTTTTTTTCAGGACTTTGTTACATTTCCTTTGTCAGAGGTTTTCTGGAGGTTTACACACTGCTGCTGGTGCGTTGGCCCGTTGCTGCTCTCTAGCTGGGCAACACAGATCGTCAACTGGTTGAGATCTGGAGACTGGCGAGGCAACCAGGACCTGGAAACGCCTCGGCGGAGCCTTCATGGTCTTTCTCAGGTCGTTCTGTCATGGATCAGTCGTCTTGGTCCCGTTGCAGAGGAGCAGCCCCAAGCATGATGCTGCCACCTCCATGATGAGACTGGCACTCACTGTCCTCCAATCATGATGCATTGTGTTTCTTCCAAACTGTTTTACTTTGGTTCCATCCGAGAACCCGACATTCTCCCTCCTGGATCACCAGAATGCTCCAGTCGGGTCGCGTGGGATGAAGGCGTGGCTGACAGCAACTCTGACCTTACGCCCTCTGCAGGTCGGTCACTGCCGCCGGACGGAGGGACGGGATCCGCGTCGGTCTTCCATTCTCTCGTTGTTGCTCAGCCGCTCTGTCCAGCCGGCCCGGCCTGCTGGGTTCGGGTCTCTGGCGTCGATGCACAGATCTTTGGTGAAATACGTTTAGGTCAATATCAAACCTAAACTGTTTGCAAATGAATTTTTTTAAAGAAATCAGACAACGCGATTGTCTAGATGTGTTTTTTCTCATTTTGTGTCTCATGCTGCGGGTCTTCAGGCCTCATCTGATCAGCTGGGGGAACAATTAGTGGCCAAACTGTGTTTCCTCTCCATATATTGGTTCCTGTTTGGATGTAATAGAACTTTGGATTGTGACGTTGTTTCTGTAGACATACTCTGTATTGAAGGATATGAAGGAACATGGGCGCCATGTTGAGGGGCCATAAACAGAACCGACTGTCTCACAGACATTTTGAATCCAAGTTACTTCAAATTATTTAGCAATGGTTGGAACTCGCTGCGTTATTGGATGAAATGTCTGATCACACGACCGAAATAGTGACGAGGGAAAACTGACTTTCGTTTCACTGTTTCCTGTCTGTAAACAAAGCGAGGGGGCTAAGCTATCAGAGCTAAGAGCTAACGGAGTTAAGCTAACAGAGCTAAGCTATCGGAACTAAGCTAACAGAGCTAAGCTAACAGAGCTAAGCTATCAGAACTAAGCTAACAGAGCTAAGCTAACAGAGCTAAAGAAAATGAGACGCATGTCCTGGTATCAGTGGTGAGACGTCCTGATATCACGTTCTCCAACATCCCAAGTTATCTACTAGTTTGATCCAGACATGTCCATTCTGGCGAGTGTCTAAATTTGCTTTCTTGGTTTTGTGTCATCATGTTTTGCTATGATTTGTCCAGATTACTCATGTTCAGTTATGCTGAGTTCAAGGGTCAGCCTTGTTTAGGTCAGGCTTATACTTTTTATGTAGCATAGTCCGAGTTTTGTCAGTGGACATCGAGGTTATTCTATTATTAATAAACTATTTAACTAGTGTTATCAAATGCACAGTATTAATACGGATTTATGTCCTGATATGTCCTCTTCAAGGCAAACTGACGTATGAAATGGATGAGCTCAATCCAGATTGGGTTCCAGTGCTGAATGTGGGTCACTGCGAGAAACGCCACAACATCAGACCGACACGCGTCAAGTAAAGGCGATACAGCAAAACCATGATGGAGCAACAAGTAGCAAGTTACAGTAGCGGCTGCAGAAGAGGAGCAAGAGGCTGAGGAGGAAACCGCAGCAGGAGCTCAGCAAGGCTGCTCACTCTGAGGAGGAACAGGAAGCATTCATGTGAACAGTGGGAGTGTCTGTTTTCTCTACTTTCATAATTTAATGTGATAAACATTCATGAAACGTTTGATTCAAGCACTTCAAGTTGCATGTAAACAGGTGATGAAATGAATCACATTTTAGGTAAAAATTTGATATTTAAAATGTTTCAGGTAATAAACATACATGTAATGAAAAATTACATTTAAAAGAAAAACATTTTATGTGATTAAAGTAAACATATATAATCTGACATTTTGCAGTAAACAATTAATTTAACAAGCAAACCAGATGAAAGAGTCCATCTTTAAATATTCAGTGTAATTAAACAGTTATGAAAGAGTAAACAATAAAGGTTATGAAATAGATCGCACTTTAATATTTAGCATATTTCAGGGAAGAAGTGAATATGGAATGAAATAGATCCTGGCCTAGAAATGTCTGTCATTGAACATCACAGGTAACAAATGTGATGACTGTCTGATGCACTACATTTTATGAACATTGTTTAAAAATATTCGTAAAATATAAAATTCGTTATAAATAAAGAAGGGGTCAAATGCTTCATCTATACAGTAGAACAATTTCACAGATTTTGAGTTACTGGGCCACGATTTGGAAGCTACTGAAGAAAACATTTGATATTAAAATTATTTAAAATATTGACTACGACTTAAAATGTTAATAGTGTTCCTGGTGTAATAGCATGAATGACCACTGTTTGCATCAGTTGGTCACAAGGCGTTTCTTTACAGGAGAGTTTGGGTGCAGATGGACGGGTCAGGGTCAGTTCGAGAACAGCTGGCCGTAATCAGCGTTCATAACCGGGTCAAGCTAAACGCCCTGACTCTGCGGAGCTGTGTCACGATGAAACGCCGAAATAACGCTCGTTTTGGTCTGTGGCCTGTAAAGATGGCGCCGAGCGACGTAAACGTCACACGCAGTGACGTCGCTTCCATTGGAACGAGAAACTGATTTACTGATTAACAATCGATTCTGTAGATTTAGCATTTTAGAGCGAAATCTACAGAAAAATAAAACTTCAAAAAAATACAACTTTATTTCAAAAGTGAAGCAAAAGATCCCGACATCCTGGAGGGACCGGACCAGTACTGGTTCTGAACCTGGACCCGGTTCTGGTTCTGACTCACATGTCCAGCAGGCGGCGGCGGTTCTCCGCATGGCGTAGGCCGGCTGTGTGATGGTTCCACTCCTGCAGGCAGAGAGAATGTCGTTAGCATCAGAACCCAGATCAGACGGGCCAGAACCTCTGAACAGAACCGGGTCATGAGAAGAACCCAGAGCAGCAGGATGGTTCTGCTGTGGGTTCTGGAGGAAAAGCCGATCGTGGTTCCGTCGGTCCGGATCCTGGCAGAACAAGAGGCTGAGGCGAAGCTGCCACTCAGACCGGGCCGGACCAGAACCTGGAGCGACCGGCGCTAACTGGGATGAAGGAGCCCAGAGCGGATGAAGTTACCTGGAGCTGCAGCCCCTGGAAACACGGGGGGAGACCCCGCGGCAGCACACATTAACAGTTAGAGAAGCAGCGGGCGTACTCACCATGGAGGAATGAACGTCAAAGTCACAAAGAGCGCACACATGGGGGAACATGGGGGGCGCGACCCCCAGGAAGTCCTGGATCTTCCCGCTGGAAGGCGAACCCATCCTCCTCTGCATGAACAGAGGGTCTGACGACGCCCCCATGCCGTAGCCAGACCCTGACCCGGAGCCGTAGCCGTCCCGCATGGAGCCGAAGCCAAAGTCTCCGGAGGACTGGTTCCGAGACGGACCCGGAGACGGGTCCCAACCGTCCCGTCCTCCGCGGAAAGCTGCTTCTGAGGCTGCCGCCCCACGCTCTCCTGCCGCCCCCTTGCGGCTCTTCAGCTGCATCAGGATGCGGGGCAATGTTTTCCATGGTGATGTCCTCATCAGGGATCTGGGCTAGCGCGTCCAGGTCAGAGGGCGACAGGCCCAGACTGGAGAACAGCTTCATGTGGCGCCCAAGAGGCCCATCGCCGCGCCGGGTCATCTGGCCACCGCCGCCATCCAGGCCCTCCATCCCGCCCATCCCAACACCCGGAGCCCCGCCCCCCATCTGGCGGCCGGGTGCCTGCTCGGCCATGTTAAAGTTGAGCCCCCGCCCCACGGAGTACGGGGTCTGGGCTCCGTCGGCCTGCTGAGCCATGACCTCAAGCCAAGCGGCCAAAAGGCTGAAACTCCTCTTCTCCGGAAGAAGCTCGATGTTCTGCTGAGACACAACGAAGCAGAGACAACCTTCAGAAAGACCCAGAGACCGACTGGGGGCCGACGCTCCGGCGCCAAGGTCAAGAGTTAACCAGAGCCAAGGTCAAACCCTGCAGACAGCAGCTGCAGCGCCGATCGGCGCGTCTTCAGCATCGACTCAGCGCTAACCGGCTGGAAATGTCTAGAATACTGAAAACTCCTGCTCCCATCTGGCAGTTCCTGGATCACCTGACCCAGCTCTACAGAACCACAGTTACAGCTCAGAGAATCAAGACACACGAGAAAACATCAAGAAATTCAAACTGAGAATCTAAACATGTCGTAATCCTAAAGTCACAGAAAAACAAGCAAGCAGGAGGAATAACCCTGGCTGGTTCCACTGGACCGGACTCAGGGCGCCTCTAACCGGCTCTGTACCAGTTTGGTCCTGGCCAGATTCACTTCCCATTAGCAGATCCTGCGCGGTTCTGCCTGGCTGTACACAGACCGTGGTTCCTGCTTCAGGGGTAGCGCCATCTGCACCGAGGCAATTTGATTGGCTTCTGGCCGCATTCGCTGATTGGCTCGTGATTTACGTCACTGCAAGCTGCAGCATTTAGCTGCAGCATTTAGCTGCAGCATTTAGCTGTGGGGACATGCTGCCATCTGCAGCCAGAGAATGAATTAGCTAGCCGCTAGGAAGACCAGACAGCAATGGAGAAACGCTGAAGCTGCTGTTTGAAAGACTAGAACTATATGTTATTAACTTGTGATGTCAATTTTATTTTTCCATCGATTTAAAAAGAAAATAAAGTTCTTGAGTGGCTATTGGTTTACATCATTTGACCACGTTACCTAAATTGTAAAGGTTGTATGTTAAAAAAAATTCAGTGGCAGAAAGTAATTATCTTTATATGTTTTGTGAAATTATCAGCTGATCCAGGTCTTATCATTATCTCTGGGCCAGAAATGCATTTCTACAAGGTAAAGTAAAACATCTGGATTTATTTGGGTCAATCAAAACCAAAAGGTTCTTCACTCCGGAGAGAAGGCAGAGCCAACCCCAGCTGCCACTGCTCACTGCCCGCCCACTACCTGGGGTAGGACCAGACCAAACCGGACCGGACATTAACCGGTTAGAGGACGACCTGCCGGTGGAAAAACTAAACCTGGGGACTCTGGAACATCTCCAGCAGCGTTTTGAAGGAGAAAGATGTTAAACTCCTGCTGCTCCAGTCAGGATCACAGGTTGAGACATAAAGCTGCTGCTGTTATTATTATTGTTGTTATTATTATTATTATCATAGAACTCTAACACAACTGGCTTGGTTCTGGTTCTGGCCTGAGGACTGGTAACCAGACTCCAACAGAACCAAAAGTCTTTGGGTCAATCTGACCCTTTGACCTATTTGCTGCCAGTTCTCCATGTCCATAAACCTTTGTACATCCTCTCTGTTAATACTCACCATTTAAATGAAAATATATCAGTAGAGATAAAAATAAATACTCCAGTCTGTAACTAAGGCTGATATTAATACTGCAGCCAGGAAATCACAATCCAATCCATACAGCTTTTTTAACTCTGTTTACCCAAACTGCTATACAGTAGAAGCAGATAAAAACGTACAACAAACAAAATACAATGTACTAAAAAGAATACAAATGTATAAAATAAAAGCGTTGCGTAAAAAGCCATTGAAAAGCAATGAGACAGCAACAGAAGAGACGCTTGTCTAATATACACTGGCAACAATATAGAAACTTACATTCAATAATCGGTGGATAAAACCGTTTTCATAAATCAGCTCTGGAATCCAGATGTGTTCATTTTAAGGTGCATAAAGTCTGACAGTCTTCCATAAATCCGCGGCAGAAAGCAAATCTGATTGGTTTAAGCTGACCGTTAGCTTCATGCTAAGATAACGTCCGGAAAACATAACAGCAAATAAAAACAATGTATAAGTCATAGATTCATTTCTTCTTAAATTACATAAAATCTAACACTTCAGCGAACAGTGGAACAAAATTTAAAACAAAATTAAATAAAACTGGTCTAAAAGTTTAGCTTCAGTAACAGAAGCTAATGTTAGCTTTGGACGCTAACACGAGGCATTATTACCCGCTTTTGGGCAAAAAGAATCCTTTCTAAAAACCAGAACCCAATGGTTTCGTGTCAATACCGCTTCGTTGTCATTGCAGCAGAAACACAGTAAATGCATGCCCTTTATGGATTTATCAACTTACCGCAAATTGTCCAGAAAAGACCCCGATTAGCCGCGGCTGATGCTACTTCTTCTTCGCTTTTGGCGTTACACCACTTCCGGTTAGCGCCCCTGCTGGAGTCTTCCCTCAACGACCTTTTCTCCTTTCTCCTTTAAGGATGCTAGGATTTTCTTAAAACAGTCTAAACCTGTTCCTATTCTTAATCAGAAGCCGTTGACTTTGGCACCGAGCGGTTCTTTTTACATCGTTCGCATCATGGTTCCCCTAGTGGATCTCACCAGTTCTTCAAGGTGTTCGGGTCCCGGCTGTTGCGCTGTTTGAAACGGTGTCCCAATCTCGCCCACCCGCCGCACCATTTGTCTTTCGGGAGGTGAAATAGTGCGGAGCCGTTGTATTGACCTACTTCTGCCGTGGCGTTTGCCAGCACCAGTTAGGGTTTGAATCTGAGGTTGTAGGCTCATTCATCCCACAGTTTCCTGCCTCATGTATCACCGAAACAGTCTCAGATATATTTTAACACGTCGAGAAGATTTGATCTGGTCGATAAATATTTAAATGTTCTCTTCTAACTTATTATCATGAACTCCATATTCTATTTCCTACTAGACCAAACGGACCATGAAGGCAGCATGCTCCTCCAGCCAATCAGAAGGCAACCATCAGTGACGCAGAAGATGTAAACAAACAGAAGCTAAGCAGCCATTTCGGTTCCGGAGGAGTTTTTCCTGCTCTTTGGGCGTTGGGGAATTTTAGCGTCGAATAAATTATTTTTGCTGGGTGTTAAAAGGTAAGAAGCGCAGTTAGTGGCGGTTCTGACCTGGTTCTGGTTCTGTGTTCTGATGCGAGCTGTGTGGCTCCGCTGCTCCTAGTGAGTCAGCGGCCCTCACGGCCAGCCTGGCCGCCCTGAGCGGCCTGACTAACGGCCACCTCTTTCACCCCGACCGCAGAGACATGAAGGACCCGACCATCGGAACCACATCCACCCCCACCGGTGCCGGAGAGGTCGTCCTCAGCAGCCAGTTCGGTTCCGAGGAGGATCCGTTTGCGGAGTACATGTGGATGGAGAACGAGGAGGAGTTCAACAGACAGGTGAGTAACTGGACCCGCTGTTTAAACCGGCGGTGTCGGTTCCGGTTCCGAGTCGGTACAGTTAGCTGGTTCAGGTTCTGAAGGAATTTGGTAGCGCCAGCAGCCTTCCTCGTGTTAAATCCGATCCAGAACCGTCTAGTCTTGGGTTCTGGTCCCGCCAGAACCTCCTGGACTCCAGAGGTTCCTAGTTTTTCCTCACCGTTCTTGATGAATCTAACGGATTCGATCCACATCCAGAACCCAACCCAGTCACCATGGTAGGGTTCTGGAGACATGCACCAATATATATATATATATATATATATATATATATATATATATATATATATATATATATATATAATTATTCCCTTCTCACCCACCGCGGGTGGTTCTTATCCTCTGAACTCGGGTCCTCTACCAGAGGCCTGGGAGCTTGAGGGTCCTGCAGTATCTTGGCTGTGCCAAGGACTGCACATTTCTGGACTGAGATGTCTGATGTTGTTCCTGGGATCTGTTGTAGCCACTGCTCCAGTTTGGGGTCACTGCCCCGAGGGCCCCGATGACCACAGGCACCACTGTGGTCTTCACCTTCCAGGCCCTCTCCAGTTCTTCCCTGAGGCCCTGGTATTTCTCCAGTTTCTCCTTTTTCCTGATGTTGCAATCACTTGGTATTGCTACATCTACCACAACGGCTTTTCTCTGATGTTTATCCACTACGACAATGTCTGGTTGGTTCGCCATTACCATTTTGTCTGTCTGGATCTGGAAGTCCCACAGGATCTTAGCTCTGGCATTCTCCACCACTTTGGGGTGTTTCCCACTTTGATCTCGGGGTTTCCAGTCCATATTCTGCACAGATGTTTCTGTACACTATGCCTGCCACTTGGTTATGTCGCTCCATGTACGCTTTCCCTGCCAGTATCTTGCACCCTGCTGTGATGTGCTGGACTGTCTCAGGGGCCTCCTTGCACAACCTACACCTTGGGTCTTGTCTGGTGTGGTAGATCTGGGCCTCTATTGCTCTGGTGTTTAGGGCCTGTTCCTGGGCGGCCAGGATGAGGGCCTCTGTGCTGTCCTTGAGTCCAGCTTTTTCCAGCCATTGGTAGGATTTACTGATATCAGCCACTTGGGTTATTTGCTGGTGGTACATCCCATGTAGGGGCTTGTCCTCCCATGATGGTATCTCTGGCACCTCAACCTCCGTTCCCTGTTGTCTGAGACATTCACTGAGCACATTGTCTGTTGAGGCTTTGTCCCTGATGTATTGTTGAGGCTTTGTCCCTGATGTATCTATGGATCTTAGTTGTTTCGTCCTGGACAGTGGTTCTCACACTCACTAGTCCTCTGCCTCCGTCCTTGCGGCTCGTGTACAGTCTCAGGGTGCTGGATTTGGGATGGAACCCTCCATGCATGGTTAGTAGCTTTCTAGTCTTAATATCTGTGGCTTTTATCTCCTCCTTTGGCCAGCTAATTATTCCAGCAGGGTATCTGATTACTGGCAAGGCATAGCTGTTTATCGCACGGATTTTGTTCTTGCCATTGAGCTGGCTTCTCAGGACTTGCCTTATTCGTTGGAGGTATTTAGCTGTGGCTCCTTTCCTTGTGACCTCATCGAGGTTGCCATTTGCTTGTGGTATACCTAGGTACTTGTAACTGTCCTCTATGTCTGCTATTGTTCCTTGTGGGAGTGAGACCCCTTCTGTGCGGATCACCTTCCCCTCTTTGTGATCAGCCGACCACACTTCTCTAGTCCGAATGACATCCCAATGTCAGTGCTGTAGATCCTGGTGGTGTGGATCAGTGAGTCGATGTCTCGCTCACTCTTGGCGTACAGCTTGATGTCATCCATGTATAGAAGGTGACTGATGTTGGCCCCATTTTTGAGTCGGTATCCGTAGCCAGTCTTGTTGATAATTTGGCTGAGGGGGTTCAGGCCTATGCAGAACAGTAGCGGGGACAGAGCATCTCCTTGGTATATGCCACATTTGATGGACACTTGTGCAAGTGGTTTGCAGTTGGCTTCAAGCGTGGTTTTCCACAGCTTCATCGAGTTTGCAATGAAGGCTCTCAGAATCCTGTTGATGTTATACATCTCTAGGCATTCAATGATCCTATGAGTCATAGGCTTTCTTGTAATCGATCCAAGCCATGCACAGGTTGGTGTGTCGGGTTTTGCAGTCTCGGGCAACTGTGCGGTCTACCAGGAGTTGGTGTTTGGCTCCTCTGCTATTTACACCGATACCCTTCTGTGCCGTGCTCATGTGTTTATCCATGTGTTTGCTTATCTTGGCCGCTATGATGCCTGACATGAGCTTCCAGGTTGTGGAGAGGCAGGTTATTGGTCGGTAGTTGGTGGGACTGGACCCTTTGATGGATCCTTCTGGATTAGGATTGTCCGCCCTTCAGTTAACCATTCAGGGTGAGTCCCACTTTGTAGCAGCTGGTTCATTTGGGCTGCCATTCGCTCATGGAGAGCAGTGAGTTTCTTTAGCCAATAGGCATGGATCATGTCAGGCCCTGCTGCTGTCCAGTTTTTCATACCTGAGACTCTTTCTTGGACATCTGTCACAGTGATGGTTACCGGGGCTTGCTCAGGGAGGTTGCTGTGGTCCTCTCGTAGAGAGATCAGCCACTGTGCATTGCTGTTGTGGGACGCCTCCCTTTCCCATATGCCTTTCCAGTATTGTTCAGTCTCCAGCCTTGGTGGGTCTGCTCTGTTGTTATTACCCTGCCATTGAGAGTACACCTTAGCTGGTTGAGTGGAGAAGAGCCGGTTAATCCTTCTGGATTCATTCTCCCTTGTGTATCTCTTTAGGCGGCTGGCCAAGGCTTGGAGCCTCTGTTTGGCAGTCTCGAGTGCTTCAGGTATGGGCATCTGCCTGTACTTTCTGGGTACTGGTCTTTTCATTGTACCCTTGTGGAGCTCTGACAGTTGGCTCACTTCCCTCCTTGTTACCTTGATGTTAGCCTCTAACCGTCTTTTCCATGGTGGGTATTGGGTCTCATGGTTGCTCTTATAGCCAAGTATCTCAATGATCACTGATGCTGAGTTGTAGATCAGCTCATTGGTTTCTGTTATGGTGTTGGTAGGGATCGTTCTCAATGCTGCATTCACATTCTCAATGAGACTTTCAGATGGTACTTCACTCAGCCGTTGTAATTGGCGCCGAGGAGGCCTGGTTGTCATTCGGGTCATGATTCTCTCTCTCGGGTCAGCAGCTGTCTCGTTCAGCTCTGTTTCGCTCATTGGGGCCGTGTATCCCCTCACTGGGTGGGGACTTGTAGTTAAGTCCCCACAGTCCTGACATCCGGGTTCCTCCCTTTTGCCGTAGCATTTTTTGTGTTGTATCTCGTCAATCTCAAGTTGTGATAGCAGTTGCCGTTTGCGGATGTTGGAACACTGAGCTACTAGTTGTTTAGCGCTTAGTGTTGACTGGGGATGTCGAAGTAACCATTCCTTCCCCAGTCTTTGCATGTAACCCCTCTGACTAGGGTTACTTGAGTAGTAGCATTCCAACAGATCCACATTTTCATCTCTCGCCCATTTCCGTCTTGTTCCAGTAGCCCATTTGTCATCAAGGTGCTCTGGTTCCCCAACACCTGACGCAGACCTTGTTTGGCCGGGACGTCTGAGCCGGCATGTTATGCAACTTAGTATCTCTCATGGTATGAGGTAGGCAGTAGCTTGAAGGGTCTTGCCTAAGGACCCAGACTGGATTCGAACCCTGCCCTCTCGGGTGATATACTGATGCCTTATGTATTGAGCTATCCAGTCAGCTAATTTATACCCAAATTTATTTCAAAACATTTGAACGTGTTTTGAAATAGTGAGCATGAGCTGTCGTCCCAGTGAGTGGAGCTGGAGCCACCGGATGTTCCACAGCTTCATCTTCCACTATCGCAGCCTCCTGGCTTCTCTCTCAGACTCCAGAAGTGTCAGCACATCTCCTTCTCTGACGGGGCCCTTCATGTTCCTGATGATGGAACGGTTGCTGTCGTCCATGAACTCGACTCGGACCTGAGTACACTGGCCCTGAGAGCCGGTTCTTCCGAGGACTTTTGTGACTCTAGCAAGCTTGATCGGCTGCACGCGGCTGGCGTCCATGTTGTCGGATTTTACCAGAAAGGAAGTGACGTGGTGCGAGGAGCGGATATATATATATATATATATATATATATATATATATATATATATATATATATATATATATATATATATATATATAATTATTCCCTATATATATATATATATATATATATATATATATATATATATATATATATATATATATAAATTCCCTTCTCACCCACCGCGGGTGGTTCTTATCCTCTGAGCTCGGGTCCTCTACCAGAGGCCTGGGAGCTTGAGGGTCCTGCAGTATCTTGGCTGTGCCAAGGACTGCTGCACATTTCTGGACTGAGATGTCTGATGTTGTTCCTGGGATCTGTTGTAGCCACTGCTCCAGTTTGGGGGTCACTGCCCCGAGGGCCCCGATGACCACAGGCACCACTGTGGTCTTCACCTTCCAGGCCCTCTCCAGTTCTTCCCTGAGGCCCTGGTATTTCTCTAGTTTCTCGTGCTCCTTTTTCCTGATGTTGCAATCACTTGGTATTGCTACATCTACCACAACGGCTTTCCTCTGATGTTTATCCACTACGACAATGTCTGGTTGGTTCGCCATTACCATTTTGTCTGTCTGGATCTGGAAGTCCCACAGGATCTTAGCTCTGGCGTTCTCCACCACCTTTGGGGGTGTTTCCCACTTTGATCTCGGGGTTTCCAGTCCATATTCTGCACAGATGTTTCTGTACACTATGCCTGCCACTTGGTTATGTCGCTCCATGTACGCTTTCCCTGCCAGTATCTTGCACCCTGCTGTGATGTGCTGGACTGTCTCAGGGGCCTCCTTGCACAACCTACACCTTGGGTCTTGTCTGGTGTGGTAGATCTGGGCCTCTATTGCTCTGGTGTTTAGGGCCTGTTCCTGGGCTGCCAGGATGAGGGCCTCTGTGCTGTCCTTGTGTCCAGCTTTTTCCAGCCATTGGTAGGATTTACTGATATCAGCCACTTGGGTTATTTGCTGGTGGTACATCCCATGTAGGGGCTTGTCCTCCCATGATGGTATCTCTGGCACCTCAACCTCCGTTCCCTGTTGTCTGAGACATTCACTGAGCACATTGTCTGTTGAGGCTTTGTCCCTGATGTATTTATGGATCTTAGTTGTTTCGTCCTGGACAGTGGTTCTCACACTCACTAGTCCTCTGCCTCCTTCCTTGCGGCTCGTGTACAGTCTCAGGGTGCTGGATTTGGGATGGAACCCTCCATGCATGGTTAGTAGCTTTCTGGTCTTATATATATATATATATATATATATATATATTATATATATATTATATATATATAATATATATATATATATATATATATATAGCTGTTATGGCCGATATTTTGTGTGCCAGATCTTTCTCCCACAATCCTTTGCTGCATCATTTGAAGATAACTGATGCATAACGAAGCATTGACCCAGTTCCATTTAAAGACCTGGTTGTGGTTCTGGTTAAAGATCCTGAAGTCAATGAAGTCAGATTTACTTTATTTATGTTTGTTTAACTTGACAACTTGAAAAACGTAATAAAAGAAGTGGGATAAACCTGGATGAACTAATTAACTCAATATATTTCAGTTGGATCAACCGGTTAGTTTTAGTTTGTTAGTCGGTTCAGGGTGGGGATATTTTACAATCATTGAATCTGAAGAATAGAAACCAGGAGCTCTGAACACAGTCTCTCTGCCTGCCTGGTTCTGATGGGTTCTGATGGGTTCTGACTGGTCCCGGCCCAGGTGGAGGAGGAGCTGTGGGAGGAGGAGTTTATGGAGCGCTGCTTCCAGCAGATGCTGGATGAGGAAGAGCAGTGGGAGTGGTTCATCCCGTCCAGAGACCTCCCCCCCGGCGGCGTGGCTCAGCTGCAGGACCAGATCAGCCTGCTGGTTCTGGACCCGGACGTTCGCCCCGACGCCTCCGACCTGGAAGTGGTGGTGAGTTGAGCCAATCGGGAGCTGAGAACGCCTCGGGAGCTCGACTCCTCTTCCTCCTCTTCCTCCTGCAGGTGAGGAGCAGCCTGAATCCAAACGCCAAGGAGTTCACTCCAGGGATCCAGAAACACAACCTGTGACCCTTAGCCCCGCCCTTCCTCCCCAGCCTGCTCTGTGACATCATGAGCAGGAAGTCCACCGTTCTCCAGCCGCCGCTCGGACCTTCAGCCTCACGTGTTGCCAAAGTTCTCCTGTCGCCTCACATCTCTTCTCACCATGTTTGCGGCCTCCCTGGGTCACCTGTGTCTGTCTGTCTGTCTGTCTGTCTGTCTGTCTGAGGAAACTCTCTGAATGTAAATCAGCTCCTTCCTGTTTCTCTCACCTGTTCTGCCCTGAACCTTTGAACCCAGTCCAGGTTCTGTCCTGACTCTCCTCACCTGACCAGGGGTGATGCAGTCTGGTCCAATCAGAGTCCCACCTGGTTCTGTCAGTCTTTCCTCTCGTTTTTTCCCAGAATCCTTTGTGTTGCTCAGCTGCTTTACTTCCTGACGTCTTTAAACTTTTTCTAATGTTCTGTAAAAAAAAAAAAAAAAAAAAAAAAGTCTGATAAAGAAAAACATGTAAAAAAAAATCTATTTTTTTTAAGGTAGTGATGAAATTAAATGTTTATTGAGGAAAAGAGGCTTGGTCTGGTTCTGTCTGCCGGTTCTGTCCAGAGCCCAAAATGATTAGATGTTGATTAACAACATCAGTTGTTCGGGAAAATAATGAGTGCAGCTTTCAGTGCTGTCCAGCAGAGGGCGCTGTTGTCTATGGTTTCTCCCACTGTCTTCACTCTGGATGATTCTCCTCAGGAAGCTGCAGATGGACCTGGACCTTCAGAACCAGCTCTGGTTCACCGGGTCTCAGTGGGATCAGATGAACTTATGGTTCTGAAAAAAAGCTTTTGTTCCAGGAGGAGATACAAGAACAGTAAGAACATACAAAGCATCACAAAGACAGAGTCTGCAAACTCAGTAAGTTATCTGGACTAAAACATGGCAAAAACAGTAAAAAAAAAAAAAAAAAAAGCTCCGTCTCGCGAGTTTCTGTTTCTAAACAATCTCATGCTTAAAGACTATTGTTAAAATTATGCTAAAATTTATTAGCCTGCCAACAAGCTATGCCAGTCCAAAATAGCACCTCAATGCTATTCAGTACTGTTAGCTAATGCTAATGTTAGCATCTGCAGTCCAGATTTCTGAAGATCTATGAAGGATAGAAAAACACTTTGCTCCAATGTGTTGATTATTTTGTCGAGTCACAGTTTCTTATCAAGATGTGATTAATTAACTACACATCCTGAAATGAACTTGATAAAATATTTCAATCTAGTCCACTACTAGTTTCTAGTTTGAGGTGTGAGACAGCGAGCGCATCCCCAGCAGGGGGCAGCAGAGTGTCAGAGCTGATCAGAATGCAGATTTTTCTGAGGAGCCAGAGGAAGAAGCTGTTTGTGTGAGAGAGAAGAACCAGGCTGCAGCTAACAGGAAGGGCGACAGGCCACTGTTAGTCAGACCTTATATGGAAATGGGACCATTACACTCCAGAAGTGAAGGAGACACTATTTCCGATATCATCCTCCTGTTTTTATTTTCCTTTAAAATCTGATTTATTTTCACCTTCAGGAAGATTTTCACTCTCAGCTTGTATTTGATCTTCTCTCTATTATTTACTTCAGCTCACAGTTTTTAACTAATTCTGTAGCTTCCTGTGTTCTTCTAAATCTGCTCCTGAGTTGCATCTTTCAGGCCTGATACTGCCTCTAGTGGCGTGGAGTGGTAACACAACTAATCTACTTACAAACAGCGCCCCCTTCACTTCCAGAGTGCAATGGTCCCATTTCCACATAAGGTCTGAGACTGACAGCGGTCCATCCCAGCCCTTCCTGCTTGCTGCAGCAGGTTAGTTGCATTTTTCAGCTGCGGCCAGCAGCCGCATTCTGATGAGGGGCGAGACCTCTGGGCTCTGCAAGCAGCTGATTGGTCAGAGGGAGATGTTGGAGAATGTACTCAAAGAAGGGCAGGTCATGACTCTGACCCCGGCGCCTCCCCCGCTGCATCTCATCATCTTCATCACCACCATGGTCATCATCAGGTCCAGAACCAGCAGGAAGTTCAGATCTCCGTGGAGACCTGGTTCTGGTTCTGGTTCTGATCAGCAATTCTCCCTGCAGAAACAGCAGGTGGAGAGCTGGACAGAGGCAGAGACTCACCAGTCTTCATGGAAACATTGTTATTAAAAATGATTATTATATTCCAATTTGCACTCTGTGGTTTTTACTATAAAGTATTTATTTTATATTTAACTGAACCAATTTGATTAATGTTTCTTTAAATTGCTGAATTTCTGCATATTTTCATTAAAATGCTCATAGTGCAGCAGGTGATGCAGCAGGTGATGCTGCAGGTGATGCAGCAGTGATGCAGCAGTGAGCCAAGCCTCACCTGGACAGATCAGCGTCTCACTAACTGCTGTTGGACACTTGAACAAAAGTAATGTAGAGACATGTGATGGTTGGAAATTTTCTTTTCTTTCCTTTTCATCTGAAATTCAAACAACATTCATAAATCCGACATGCGTCACACTTTGGCTGCTATGTTTCCACTGAGCTTAGTTCTTCAACACAGAAGCTTAGGACCCAGGCTGCCCTCAGCGCCTGTTTCAAACTCGTCCCTTTCTAAACTCATTTCACTGTCAGCCCCAAGAAATACCAACATATCAATGAACGTTCAGCTTAACATGGACAATCAAACATGGTGCTTTTAAACAACAAAACAAAATATTCATAGGAAAAAGAATAGAATCATATTTTAATGGAAGGGGCTCCTTGATCCGAAGTCTCCAGCAACTGGTGTTGTTCAGATAGCAGCTCCTCCTGTCTGAACGGCGCCAATTAAATGGCTAAAAAACATTTAATGTATCAACTGATTTTACATCATTTAGCTCATGTATATAATGTACACTGATCTTGTCACCAACTGTGTGTGCAACGTGTTTCGTGCTCAGCAGCGACAGAAACCGAGAACTGGAGGTGAGGCAGGCAGTTCTCTGGCCTCATGGCAGGGGGCGCTCATGATCCCAGACATTGACACTCCACACTGCAGAGGAAGAGACAGTAAGTCTTCTTGACTTTATTTCAAACAAATAACAGGGACATACAAACAGATGTTAACTCAAAGACAAATATTTAAATATTGTAATAATAAAAACAAATAAAAGTAATTACATTCAATGAGGGTGTTGATGTTAAGGTCTAGAAAGGCAAAGTTAAATAAATATATATACATTGATTAAATGAAATGATGTGTACTTTTTCATTTAGGTTTTCATAACAAAAAGTGTTAAAAGCATATTCAAATACATTTGAAGAAGAGTATATTACAGCAAACAGCACAACAAAAGCAAAAAAAAAAAGAACAGCGGATCTGCTTATGAGATAAAGTTACATTTTTGGAGAAGAGTTCAATTTTTTACCAGTTTTCTTATTATTAAAGTTAAGTTTTCCGACAAAGCCAATATACATTTTTAAGTCAGTTTTTTGAAAATTATTAAAAGGGGATTTTTTTCCACTTCATTTCATCTTGTGGACATATATTTTGCTAGGATTATAATAAGATTCACTATATATATTTCATCTAAAGAAAAAGTTGAATTGTTAAAACTGAGTAAAATTTGTAAATTTGATAAAAGAATATTTTTTCTGAAAGGAGCTTTTTGCAAATCCGACCAAAATATTGCAGCTGAGAACATTCTACAAATAAACGATCAATAATTTCACCTTCACACTGACAACAAGAGCAGCTGTTGCTGCGGCAAATATTATTTTTACTGGGTAGTATGTATGTAAAATACATCCATCCATTTCTGATCACCTCCTCCCTAACGGGGTCGGAGGAGCTGCTGACTCTCCAGCTGCGTGGCGGGCGAGAGACGGGTCACCTGGACACCTGGACGGGTCACCTGGACAGGTCACCTGGACACCTGGACGGGTCACCTGGACACATGGACAGGTCACCTGACGGGTCGCCCAGTCTGTCGCAGGGCAACGCAGAGACAAACAGGACAAACTACCACACACACACACACACACACACACACACACACACACACACACAACACACACACACACACACAGACACACCTAGGGAGAATTTGGAAAGACCAATCAACCTAACTGTGATGTTTTTGGACTGTGGGAGGAACCCGGAGAACCCGGAGAGAACCCACCACGCACAGAGAGAACATGCAGATTCTGTTCAGAAAGACCCCGGGCCGGGAATCGAACCCAGAACCTTCTTGCTGCAAGGCAACAGCGCTACCCACTGCTCCACTGTGCTGCCCCTGTAGGTAAAATCTTAATATATTCATGAGGCAATAAACGTCCCCTTCCGGAGGAGGACGAGGCCCCGGGTCTCCTGGAGGGACGATGATCCCGCCTGGCTCCTCTGGGAACGCCTCGGCATTCCCAGAGGAGCTGGAGCAAGAGGCTGGCAGCAGGAAGCCTCCTTTCTGAAGACGCTGACCCCGTGACCCCGACCCGGATAAGCTGAAGAAAATGGATGAATGGAAAAATTTTGCACTCCACAATGTTTTGCTCAAATAATTGATCTATGTTTACTTATGGGAGTGGAGAAAGTTGTGATAAACCCGTTTGTAAATTTCTTATTGATTATTTTAGTGCCTTCAGTTGAAGTTGAGTCGTGAAGGTTTGGATGTTTGGTTTGAGCTCAACAGAGCAGCTTTAATGAGCACTTCACATTCTGTGTGAGAAATCTCTATGTCATTGTTGTTCATAAAATGCTCAGAGGTAAATCACTCACCTTTACTGGCGAGCAAATCAATATTATTATTATTATAATGATTTGTTTTTATGTCAGCATTGTTCCATATGATGCAGCAATGAGGACAGAAGTTGTTTTATAAAAAAGATCCAACATCACAGAACCTGCTGAGGAAGTTTGACTGGAAGTTTTCCAACTGAGAAAACGCAATAAAAAATGAGACGCTCCGGTTTACTGAACCCAGGACTTGGGAAAATATTCCACATGGAATTTGGATTGTTTGGAAATCTTTTTGTCCAATTCATTTTTGACATTTGATTAAAGACAGT